TACATAGACTGGACTCATAGAGATCCACCTGTGTTCAGCCTCCCAAGAGCTGGGATTACAGGCGTGCGCCACTGCACCCAGTCTCAATCGCTGTGTCAGCGTTCCTCAGGGGCGGGGCTGATATGGCACAGCAGGGATTGAACCCCTGCTTCTGTGTTGTCTAAGCAGGCGCTTTAATCAGCTCAGTTATTTGACCACCCCGTGCTTCAGCTTTACAAGACAATGTAAAATATTTTCCCCAATTACATGAGGGTTCCAGTAGCCCTACATCTTTTCCAACGTGTTATGTCATCCATATTTTAAATTTTAATCTACTCTAGCAGGGGTGGAAAGAAAGCCACACCTTTTTGTTTTGTTTGAATAAAATTTCTACTTGTTTTTTCTTGTTTATTTCAACACGAACGCAAGCTGATTGAAAACAAATGTGTCAACCCCTCCGTCATCCCACCTGCTTCCCCAGCGGGACTTTGTTATAGTTCCCATAATCCTCTTCCTATGCAGATCGCAGAGCAGTGTGTCTCACAAACAGGATCATAGAATTTATATTTTCTATAACTTCCCACTCAATCTAAAATGACGATACATTTGCACTTATTTACATATAGGTCTGCATCTCTGTCTCAGTCACTCATTCGTTTTGGGGACAAAATAGCTGACGTACACAGTTCAAAGGAGCAGAGGTTTGTTTGGGCTCACGTTGTAGAAGTGTCAGCCCTTGCACGGCCAGCACCAGGGCTGCAGGACCTGGACTGAGGAGAGCTGCTCGTGCTGGGCCACGCAGGAAGCCGAGAGCGTCAGGGTGGGAGCCGGGAAGGGGGCTGTGGCCCGCCTCAGCCTGCCGGGCTCCTCCTGCTCCCAGTGTGTGGGCTCTAAGGTCCTGAACCCAGTTACCCTGCAGAGCTCCGCCCCGTGGTTTCGAGAGGCTCTAGAGGGCATCTAGATATTGTAGGACCGTAACAGTGTCTAAAAAATACATGTTCAGTATACGTGTATTTACTGAGTAGTCCTACAGGTGAGAACTGCACATTTGGGGCCTGGGAGATGGCTCAGTGGAATAAGCGCTTCCCGGCAAGCGCAAGGGTTCAATCCCCGGTTCCGCAAAAAAGAAAAAAAAAGAAAAAAAGAACCACACATTTATGTAAACATTTCTTTGCTGTTAACGATCACACTGTTTCCAACTCTTTGCTGTACCCAGGGGAATGTCACGAACATTCATTCATTCAATAACTATTAATTTAGTACTTATGCCAGTCGTTAAATTTGGTTCTGGGGACAGAGCAGGAAGCCAGAGCAAGACATCCTGGCCTTCATGCACTTTGCATTCTAGCTAGGAAGGTGGATAATAAGTGAGGTGGGGGAATGTATCATGAATGCATTAGCATGCAGTTAAACATGTTTGTTAGCAATAAGGGCTAAAAGGAAAATGGGAGTGGAAAACTTTGGCAGAGACAGGATTGCAATCTGAGGTAAGATGACCAGAAGTGAACTCACTAAAGAGGGTGACGTTGAAAGTGAAGCCTAAGTGAGACAAGGTCCCCGACCACATGGGCGCGTTGGGAAGAAGCTCCCCAGACACAGGAACGCGGAGACGGTAGAGGCACAGAGCCAGCGCATCCGGCTTAGTCACAGTCACACAGTGCCCTCATGCACAGGTCTACACACACATGGTGGCTTTCGCTGGGCCTGGCTAGCTCTCTTCACTTCCCAAGCCCCCTTTCTGCCTGGGGGTTCACAGAGCTCCCCTGGCTTGAGCCCCTTTCTTTGCTTCCCACTAAGGCATAAACTCCCACAACATCCTGCATGATTTGGCCACAACTGCCACCTCTGCCTCTGACTCGTGGCACTCGGTCTCCCTGTCACTACGCTCCAGCCCTCCTCTCGCTCCTACATCTCAAGTCTCCCCACTCCAGGGCCTCTGTTCCACACCTGGATTCTTTTTCAGAGTTGGCGGCATAGCTACTCTTCTCACCTGCAGGCCACATGTAAATGTCACCTTCCAGAGGGGTCCCTCTTGAGCACTGTCATGGCTTGTGCCTCGGTGCCCCCCAACACCTCATGCAGTTGTAAGGGATTTTGGATGTGATCAAATCTAGAGTGGGTGATTGATTCATGGTTTAATCCTAGAATTAAGGATGCTGGAGTTAAGAGTGGGTGATTGTACCATCCTAATCCCAGTAGACTGAATGCAACGTAAGAAATGGAAAGAGGTGTGTTGGCCCTAGAATCCTGGGTGCACTGTGCTGGCCCTGAAACCAGGCACGGTAGTGCTTGCCTATAATCCCAGCACAGCGCACTAGGGAGGCTGAAACGGGAGGATTGCTACGGGTCTGAGCTGTGTAGAGGGACCCTGCACCAAATAAATAATATTAAAAAAATGTACCACCTTGGGATTTAACGTTATCGCTGAAGGATAGAGAAGAACTGGCCTCTTAAGTATCAAATGAGTTGGGCTTCTAAAGTATCAAATGAGCTCAGCAGCACAAGCACCTGTGCAAGGTCTTGAGTTTGATTCCCCAGTACTTGGAAAAAAAAAAAATCAAATGGAGCAGATGCCCATGGAATTCAAGTCTGACCTAGGAGAAGTTAAAAAAAAAAAAAAAAAAAAAAAAGCTACAATTTAATCCCCGTTATTGTCCAAATGGGGACAAAGCCCTCCCAAAACTGAGTTTTAGATCTGCTGGGATGCATGAAACCCATGATAGCTTAGAAAAGAAAAACAAGAGCTGCAGATATTTTTGACCACAGAAAAGTAAAATCACAGGTACAAAATTCTTTTAAAAATTGTTCAGATTCTGGTTTATCTAAGTTCTACATGACCAGGTAGTCTAGCTAAATATCAAATTCCAGTGTCAAATCCATCTGATGCCAAGGAAATCATTGCTGATAACCTCCTACGTCACCGGTCTTTGTCATCTTGGGCACCTAGAGGCACCTTGCCCACGTCCTGAGAATGCCAGGGTGACTGGCAAAAGCCCTCTCAACTACTGGCTTATTGTTGGCCTTAAATACTCTTTTGGCGCCCCCCAGCGTGAAACAAGGCCGCAACAACTGTACTTAAAGTCCCTTTAATAATATTTACAGTAAAAAGCCGGCATCTAAAATAATTTTTACCAAAGAAAATATAAGTAGCTAATTACCATGTAAAGATTACATCTTTATGAAGCCGCAATAAAATTTTAATGTAATTTCTAGAAGCACAGGACTTTTGAGAATCCCTGAGAAGCGCACGGTGAAAACCTCAAGAACGCACTCGGTGTGCTCCCAACGTGCCAGGTCCACTCCAGTAACCTGCCCTGGGAGTCTATCTGCGGTAATGCAGAATGACCTTAGGTACACAACTGGTCACCGGGGCCGCGCTGTTTACTGCGGTGTTGGGAACAGTAAAAGGGTGGTGATTTAGACAACGGTGCACGGCAGAGTATTGTGTGCCTGTAAAACAAAGGAAGGAATATTTAAGGCGCTTATTTAGGAGGATTCCCATTGTGTATCAGAGGGCATAAAGCAGAATAAAATAAAATTACAAACAAAGGTAGAGAACTACTGTATTTTGTCAGCATTTGGACTTCAAAAAGGGATAGCAATTGTGATAATAATCTCATATATTTGATAATAAGCATATTTTTTATTTTTGTGGGGTTTTTTGTTTTTGTTTTTCTTTTGTCTTTTTGAGACACAGTCTCAGTGTGCAGCTCAGGCTGGCCTTGAGCTCACTTTGTTTTTATTTCATTTTATTTGGCAGAACTGGGGGTTGAACTCAGGTCCTTGCTCTTATTCTACTCAGCTATCTCCCCGGCCCCATTGAGCTCACTTTGTAGGCTGGTTTCAAACTCCCAATGATATTCCTGCCTCAGCCTCCCAAGTTCTAGGATTACAGGCACGTGCCACCCTGCCTAGCTGTATTTGCTCACACACCCATAAAGCTCTTGGAGGATGCACAAGAAACTAATATCATGTGGTTATTCATCTTATTTATTTATTTGGTACAGGGTCTCACTAAGCAGCTCCAACTCATAGTAATCCTCTTGTTTTCAGCGTCTCCAGCGCGGGGATTACAAGTGCACACCACCATGCCCCGCCGGTATGGCGTCTGGTGCTGGGGATCGAACCAGGTCTCTGTGCTGGCCTAACCAGGTCCTTCGTACGCTGAACTATCTCGCCTGCCCCACGCTGTTACTGATGATGGTATGGAAAACAGGTAGACACTGGATAATGAATTCCTTAGCATGGTTACTTTTTAATTTTGTTTTGATTATCCAAAATATTAAACAAATTTTAAAAAAAAGTCTAAGGTTCACAAATCAAGGACAGGAAAACCTTTGCTTTAAAAGTCAAGAGTTGGGCCCTGATCCCGGCTGACTGGCTTGAGGGTGACCCACCCTCGACCGTAACGACCCGCGGCCCCCACCGGGGGTGCATCTCCAGGGGTGCTCATCGTGGCCCTGCCCCACGTGGCGTCTCCCATTTCCTCTCAGCCCCAACCATGTCCCCAACACCGTCCTCCCTCAGGCAACCCAAGGCCTTCTAAAATGCGAGGGGCAGCGGAATGCGGCAAGGCATGTCTGTAATCCCAGCACTCCGGGAGGCTGAGGCAGGAGGATCTTGGATTTAAACCCACTTTGGGCAATTTAACAACTGAGTGAAATTTTGTCCCCAGATAAAAAGTCTGGATGTAGCTCAGTGAGAAGGTCCAGGGTTCCATCTTCAGAAGGGAAGGAAGACGGAAAGAAAGCCACAGGGAAGAAGGGAGGTCGGGCACAAAATAAACACGCGTGTCGGGGAGGTGTGCTGTGGCCTGCCAGCGCTAACTCCGAGACTACAAGGCCCAGAATGCACGGCTAAAATTAGGATTACGTCGTAAGTGGACCACAACGCCACGACTTCCGGTAGGGCGGAGCTCAGCGAGGGGGGCGGTACAATTGCCGGATCACCTAGGCAACCCCAATTGCGCGACAGAATGCACTTCCGCTTCCGCCTCTTGGCCGAGAGTCTGCGCAATCTCGCCGTCGTGACGCTATTCTCCTGCGACGGCGCGTGAGCGGAGGGCACTGGCGGCGGCCTGTCTCCGGCGGGAAAACCGAGAGCAGCCTCTTCTCTTCGGCGTCTGACCTGGCAACGGAAGGCCAAGCGGCACGATGACGGACCGCTACACCATCCACAGCCAGCTGGAGCATCTCCAGTCCAAGTACATCGGCACGGGCCACGCCGACACCACCAAGTGGGAGTGGCTGGTGAACCAGCACCGCGACTCGTACTGCTCCTACATGGGCCACTTCGACCTTCTCAACTACTTCGCCATTGCCGAGAACGAGAGCAAAGCGCGAGTCCGCTTCAATTTGATGGAGAAGATGCTGCAGCCCTGTGGGCCGCCCGCCGACAAGCCCGAGGAGAACTGAGCCCTCCCGGCCCCCGTCGGCGCCGCCTTCCCGCGCCTTCCGCCGCCCTGGCTGGCGTCCCGGCGCCTCCGCGTCCCGAGTCTGGCGTGCGTGGCCATGGTGTCCAGAGGTGACGCTGGGCTGCTTCGTGCTCCCCTTGGACGTGGCAGTGAGAGGCCGTCGGGACCTGGAGCTGCGGGAGGGGAAGGCTGCGCTGGACTGAGGCGGGACTGAGGCGGCGCTCGGCCTGTTGTTCCATAAAGTTTAGAAATTTCGCAGTCTCTCGGTGTGAACTGCTTGTGTCGGTGGCGCGGTGCGGGGTCTGCCGAGGTGGACGAGTAGGAAGTGCGGGCCCGCGCGTGGCCAGCCGCGCTGGTAATGTTGCTGAACGCCCGCGCTTTCCACGAGTGACGTGCCCGGGCCCGCGGTGCCTTCCAGGTTTTGGAGTTTTTTGGTTTTGGGGTTTTTAAAAAAATAACGTCGCACTCAGTCTCTCGTTTCAAACGTTTGCTGGCGCCGACCTAAACTGAATGCTCTTTCTGGGAACTCTGAGTTCAGAGATAACGAGCTGACAAATGAATGCGTTCATTCCTTGAGCGCTGAGCCCACGCGTGTTGCGCCCCACGTGGCAGGCCCTTGTTGGGCCCTTGGGGCGTCCCTGGTGCTAGCCGGCCGGGGAGAGGGAGGCCAGACCCCCTGTGGCCTCGGCAAGCGTTACGCACTGCCGGGAGGTGGGGGTGGCCGGTAAGGTAGTGATCTTAAGTGATGGTCGGGTTATTGAGATGATGATGTTTGAGAAAAGACAGAAAAATTGAAGGAAATAGCCCTGCAAAAAGCTAGAGAAATTGCCTCTCATGTAGAGGAAGTCGCCAGGGTATGGCGCTAAAGCGGGGGGTGTTTGGCCACTGGAGGAATGGCAGAAGCCAGCGTGGCTGAGAGAGACATAGAGGATGGCAACGCAGTGGCACGGAGGGGGAGACCCAGGAGTGGGAGGTAAGGACGGAGCCGCTGGAGGGGAAGTGAGCCGCCAGTTTTACCCAGTGGTGCGGGATCACACCAGCGTCTTATGTGGATTAGGAAACACTACCTAGGAACTGTATCCCTGGGCCCTGCTTTTTTTTTTTTTTTCCTCTTTTTCTTTTGTTTTTTCTCGCTCTCCCTTTCCCTCTTTTTCTCTCTCTCCCTTCCTCTCCATTTCTCCCCCTCCCTCCCTCCCTTCCTCCCTCTCCTTAAAACATCTTCGCAGTTGGACTCTGATAATACTTTTAAAAATTCTTGAAAACCCAGCCAATATACATTGGTGTGGGTTGCGGTGCATATTTTAAATACGTGTTTGAGACTACTCCCCACAAAGCAGGAAATTTGAAAGTTTGCAGCAATTTCTGTGCACATAACAGTGTCATTAAATAATAAAAGTACTTTCATGAAAAATATTTCCCAAACCGGTTTAGTGAGAACTTTTAATTTTTTTCTGTGTTTTAAGGAAGGGTCTACAAGATGTTCAGGATCGCACTACTAGATGGGACTCGTGATTCAATTTACAGCCAAGTGCTGGGATTACAGGCGCATGTCACATGCCCAGAGGGCGGGGCTGTCGCGTGGTGGGGGGGGTGTCTAGGGTGCACCACCAGCCTCAAGCACGCGTTTTAATTCCCTGAGTTATTTGGCTGGCCTTAGGAGAATTTAAAAAAAAAAAAAAAAAATTTGGAGATGTCTTTGACACCTGGCTTACTAGGTGATTGGGTTGTCATTTTCTGTATTGATACTGTTGGGATAAAAAGTTTTAGTGGAAGTATGAGAAAATTTCTTCATAAATATGTAGGTTGGGAACACTTTTTAGCCCTTTGTGTTATTCTATGACATTTAAGCAAAAACTAGTGGTAGTTTCTGAAATTACAGCATGGAATCTGAAGCTAGGTTAGTGAGTTGACATTAAAATTCCTTGAGCTATCTTGAATTTTTTTTTTCTTTTTTGCAGTACTGGGGGTTGGACTCAGAACACCTTACTTGCCAGGCAAGCACTTACTATACTGAGCTATCTCCCCAGGCCTTTGAATTTTGGATGGATTGTTCTTTTAAAATTTTTTCAAAAATCCTATATCTATTTGGTACAGTGTCTCACTACACAGCTTGGACTCATAGTGATCCTCCTGTCACAGCCTCCTCAGCACTGGGATTACCGGGTACTAGGTGCTGAGAACCAGAGATTCAACCTGGGTCCTTGTGCTTACCAGGTAGGTGCTTAGACCAACAAGCTATCTCTGCAGCCCCAACTCTACAGGTCTTGTAAATACTTCTCTGTATATATGAAAAAATTATGTTAGTATTATCCCTGTTTCTTCAGGAAAGTTACAGTATTAAACCAAGAAATTCTCAGCACTGTATTTTCTGCAGGTGTTAAGTTGTGACTTGAAAGCCTCAGTTTGATTACTGGGAGAAAATAATTATTTTTCTTTAAGTGATAGGCCCACTTAATTTGTTTTCAAGAATGTAGGATAGGGGCCGGGGAGATGGCTCAGTGGAATAAGCGCTTCCGTGGCAAGTGCAAGGGCCTGAGTTCAATCCCCGGTTCTGCCAAAAAAAAAAAAAAAAAAAAAATGTAGGATTGCTACTAAATACCTAAATGTGAAAACTAGTTCTTTTTTGTAAAGCTGATGCACCCTTAAGAGACAGTAGTTCAGTTTGCAACTCATAAGTATGACTACTTTCCCTTGAGAAACCCAGCTCGTTTTGTGCATAGCAGGAGCACTGTGTGTATTGCCAATTTCATCACAAAGTAGTAAAAAGCAGGTCTTCTGGGTGTATGACTTCATAAAGTTAGCCATCTTTACAGTTTCCTTAAGGATGTTCATAAGTGACACTGGTATTTGTTTTAGCTGTTTTTATTGAAAAGGTGACAATATAATAATTACTAGTACAGTTTAGTGCCAGTCCCCTGACTTGTGAGAGTAATTTTGGCACTTGGATTTCTACCATGTGTGCAAATTAACAATGAAAAAGGCAAATAAAATCATGGTATTTGTATACAAGTGGGTTTGACTTAGTACTCCCTGAAATGCCTACAAATTTTACTTGGAAGAATGCGGATATAGTTACTTACACTTGAGTGTTTAGTAGACATTTTTGCAAAAATGAACAAAGGACCTGGGAGGTGACTCAGTGGCATAAGCACCTGCCTGGCAAGAGCAAGGTCCTGAGTTTGATCTCAGTACAGGGGATGAAATGGGCCATCGCTTAGAAAACCAACTGAATTGCTTCAGATGATTCAATCAAAGTGTCAACATTAATTCTGTTTCCCTTTTTACCTTAAAGAGTAAAACTATAAATCACTCTTCTTACAGAGCTTTATAATGGTATACAAAGTGTCATTACAGTGAGCCCTGTCCCTAATTGGAAGCTGTACCAAACAGAGCAAAAAAAAAAAAAAATGATGTCAGGCCAGCCAGATAGCTCATTGGATTAAAGCACCTGCCTGCTTAGGCAGATGCAGGGACTGGGGTTCGATCCCGTTTGCAGTGCTGGCCCCGCCCCTGGAGCACACTGAGATGGCAAATGAGACTGAGTGTTGTGTGCAGCTGTCGTCCCAAAACTTGGGAGGCTGAAGACAGGAGAATCACCACGAGTCCAAGCTGTGTAGTGAGACCCTATAAATCTTGTACTAAATACATTTTTTAATACAATGTCTTGTACTATAGATAAAGAGATGAATCTGTCATATGGGCTGGCATATGTAAAAACTGAGAAGTATATATGTATATTAACTCCACAAATTGAGAAGGATGTTAGTAACTTAGAGAAAGACCTCCACAAATTAGCTGGAATTTATATTGTTGGGTTACATAAGGACAAAGATTTTCACCTGTTAAGTGATATATTTTTATTTATTTATTTATTTATTTAGCGTGTGTGTGGCCAGTTCAGCCCACCAGGGGGCGGGGCTGGCTGGCATGTGGTGCTGGGGGATTGAACCGCGTTCCCTGTGCTTTGCTAAGCTTGTTGTAAGTAGGTGCTTTAGACCACTGAGCCATCTCACCAGCCCCAAGTGATATATTTTAAAATATGTGTCTGACACTTCTTATTGGATATAGGAAGATAGAGCTTAACTGATAATATACAGGCAGTCTTCAACTTGGAAGTGTTGATTATTTTTTGTACATGTGAAAAAGTCAAATTCATTAATATTACCCTGTTTTCCTCAGAAAGGTCTTATGCTATGAAGAAACCAAAAAACTCCCAATACTATATTTTCCACACATGGGACACAGGTCTCAACTGTGCTAAGATAGATAGTGGCAAAGAAAGATGTTTGAAGACATGTTTCCTGTCATAATTATAGTATCTAAGCATTTTCTCTTGTTTAATCTTTGGGAAGTACCATCTTTATTTTACAGGTGAAACAGATTCAGAAAAATTAATTTGAAAAATCACACAGCTTGTTATCTAAACCCAGATTTGAAACTAGCTCAGTCTAGTTTCATGATACAGAATCCCAAACATCCACTGCCCTATGCAGATCAAATATTTAGAAATAATACTAGAATAAGTTGATGCCAGATATTGTCTCCGATTTTTAAATGTCAATACTAAAGCCTAGGAGATTATAGTGAAGAAATATCAGTATACAATAGGAAGGAATATGAGACCTCATATCATTTTAATATACATTAACTTGAAATATGTTCAATAAAGATAAACATAGAAGGAGGTAAGTGTCTTGTGTGGAAAACCTTCCATTCCGCTGTCTGAAAATAACTGCCCAAACAACTCTTGCCCGCTGCTGTTCCCTGTTGGGCCACAGGTAGTGATCCCCGCGTCCGACACAGGGGGGCAGCAGATGACTGGTGCAGCTTTCTTTGGGGAGCAGCTTTGCAAGAGTGGATTCCTGCCAACTTCAGAACAAAATCAGCTGTTTTTCTATTTATTTACATGGATGTTGCAATTAAGAAGCCACATGCAAAACTATAAATAGGCATTTTTTTCGTTTAAATTTGTAGCGATCCCTTTACAGATCACTGCGTCAGCTCGCGAGGATAGAACAAGAAAAAGACACCAACTCACAAGGACAGAACAAGATAAAGACTGCCCTTGAGAGGATGAGTCGGCAGAAGAAACGCAGCCCTTACAGGCAGCAGCGAGGGCTCAGTGCTAAAGAAAGACTGAAATGCAAAGGCTGTAGTTCTCAGGAAGTGATGATCGTAAAAGGCAGGAGGGCGGGAGAGCACGCCGGTGGAGCGAGGCTTTGAACAGATCCTTGCGACACAAGATAGAAGGTCCAG